GGATATAGAGGAGGGCAAAAAAGACATAATCAAAAATCAGCTCAAACACTTTTCTTCTTCCTTCTCTTAAAATTATCACCCATTCTATTATTTGAATAGACACCATCATTTTTAGCCACTCTGCCTTTTTGCCAGCTGCAAAATCCCAGCAAGGGCTTTCCAAGTACCCAACAGTTCCTTATTGGAAGCAACCTCTCCTGCAGGTCAGGTGGACATTGAACTCAGTGCAGCTACTTGCTGTGGTCTGGCCAGGCACCTATAAAGCATCTTTTGGACTTTTTCCTTTCCTGTACCTTTTGAGAGCGAGTTCCTTGTAAACGCAGTAGATCGATTCTCTCCCTCTTAAATGTCAACGTGGTCTTCATCCGTCCAGCTGGGTAGCTGAAATCCTCTAGGCTGCTGCTATTTATTTGCAGTTTTAATCTGAGTGTTTTTTTTTCCTTTTGTTATACTGTGTTTGTATATGACTATATATATATATATCTTTTTTTTTTTTTTTTTTTCAAATTGTGACCTCTCACATTGTTATCTTTTAACCTTTCTCAGTTTTGTGTTCTCTGTGTTTTCTTATCTGTGCAGAGAACAGGCTGGTATCCCAGATGGGAGATCATCCTATTTTCTAATCCAAGCAGTCATTATTCCCTTTTTCCCATTCTAAAAATTATTTATTATTTTTATTTTATTTTCTTTCCTGAAGAAGGAGCTGGTTGAGGGAGTTCATTTTATTTCTGCTCGGAGACTTCCAGGAATTGTAGAGGTCTAAAATTAAAAATGCATTTCCTTTCTTCACACTTACCCAACAATGCTGTGCTGAAGCCTAAAATATTCTCGAAAAGGCTTTTAAGGAAACATGTAGCTTAAATTGCGAGCAGATTGGGGAAACTTTGGCCAAAATTGGAAGAAAGAAGAATTTTCACAAGTACGTTGCTAGTACTTGGTGTATAATATAGTCTGGAATGCTAAATTAAGCCCCTCCAAACTGGATGGCGGACAAATGTTTAACTACTTTTTAAAGCAATTAAACTCTATGTGTTCCCCTTTTAAGCAAGCTGCAGAATGGTTCTGTGCCACAGTTATTTTCCCAGAAACTTATGCTTTTTAGGTGGTATTTTTTCAAGTTATTTTTATTGATCCTTATATATCTTCAGGCCTCTGCTTATTATTGCAGATTATTACAGTTATTATTACTCTATATTACTACAGATAAGCAAATTTTAGCTTCAGAAGTGGCTACTGCTTCAGCTGACCCACGGCCTGTGGTAGCAGAGGCAATATTTTTATTATTTGTCCAAGTAGGGTTTTCAGGGAGAGATTTGGACTTATTTAAGATTGAATAAGAAAAACAGGAGGGGAGGGATACCTACCCCTTCCTCCAAAGCACCATTTGCCCTCAGGAAATGGCTTTTGATGAAGAAGAGCTCGGAGCTGTTGGTTGCCTTCCCCTTCCAGCTCTTTCCCCTTGTTTCTGTCTCTTCTTCTCTCTATTCCTAGCAAAATAAAAATGCTGGGGAGATCTGTTACCTCAAGTAGTCTCTGTGTGCAGGTGCCAGCCACGGTGCAAGCACCCCTTCCCCATCACCCTTTGGTTTTCATTTAAGAGGAAGAGATGGATTTAAAGAGATGCAAGAGAGCCTTAAGGATCCTCAAGCACTTTGGCTGGGCCCTCAGCCCCTCTATAGCTTCTCCTGCGTGTCTGATTTTCAGATTCTCAAAAAAAATCTGCTATTTCATTATAAGTCCTAACAGGAATCCAATAGTGACGAGAAAATGCTCCCCTTCTATAAACAGTTCTATATCTATTAGTGCTTTTGTTAGCGTGAATAATGCATAATATATAATAGGAGCAATGGAAAAAAAAACAACTTAGGAAATGACTTTAAAAATGTAGTCTAAGCTGAGGATGAGAAGGGGAAAAAGTCTAATTAAATGTGATAGTTTCATGGTCTGTGACATCCTTAATCTTCATTATCCAACTCCAGGCCTGCTCCTGCAGTCTGCAAAGGAAAAGTGAATTAAATTTGAGGCTGTTCTGCAGCGTCTGTCTCCGTTGCACATAGTTGTTATTGCCACTGAACTTCATGGCTCAGATACTCTCTTAGTGTCTGTACTCAGATACGAGGCAAGAGGTTCAGCCTTATTTGCAGCAGTATCTATGAAAAATAAGACCCAGAAATAAGAGGTTTGTTGCAGAAATAAAAAAATCTGGTTAATTAGAGAAACCACAGCTGGCTTGCAGAACAGCAGTGCGTTTTTGAGGGATATTTGTGTCGTGCTGCCACAGGTTGTTGCTTCGTTCTGGTCTGTGCTGTAAGTGGTTTCTCACTCATCTATCTTCTTACTTAAGCTTGAGGTGAGAAACAATGAGGACAACTAGCTCCTCTTGGCTATGGTGAGTCACTGTCAGGTACTCCTAGACTTTAAATCAAACCATATAGTCTCCTCTGCCGTTTCTATGCGTTGAATAGAGCCAATATTATTATTGCCCTTGCTCTTCCTCTTCACGTTCATCCACCTGTGTTAACTCTTTTTCTCTCCACTTCTGGATGGTGAAGCTCTTTGGATCAGAGCACATTAGTGATAACTTGATTATTGGCTGAAAACCAGTAGCAGAGTTGCAAGAACGGCCCCTTGCCAGCGTGCTGGCCTGAAACACAAATCTGGTTTTCTCAGAGCACTTGCATTTTCACATCTATCTTAAGACTGTTTTTAATTTTGTGCCCGCTTTGTAGACATCTCTGTATCGTTTTGAGTTGCTTAGGCTCCCACTCTAAGTTAAACAGCACTCAAAGAAGAAAAAATGTCGATCTTGTGTGTGTGTGTGTCTTTTTTGTGTCTGAAATATAATGTAGGATGCTCTTTTATAGCTTGCTTCTTGCTAGTGCTTAAAACATCGTTATACAAGTGAAATTCCATAAGGGAAACCCGATGTCACACAGTGTCTAGTTGGCACTTGGGCTGGTTGGAGCCCCTGCCTTCACTTCCATAAACTTGGCCTGAGCCTCTGGTTACTTCCCAGCCCCAAACTGTTCTGAACCTAAGAGCTTTTCTCTTGAGCTCCCTCTCAAAAATTGGTGGTATCGGGAAATAAAATATGGGAACGGAAAATAGTGGTTAAATGGGGGCTTGTCGGAGTGGGGCTGCGTTAAGGAGCATCCCTGGCCCTTCGGAAGCTTCCAGCTTTTCCAGCACTGAATGCCAAGTATCCCAAAGGCTATTAAGAAAGGCAACCCAAACCCCTGAAACTGTTGTTGTTTCCTGGAAGAAAATTCAGTAGATATCCTGTTAATTAGCGTGGGAAGTGGTTGCCCTTTTGTTTGTTTTTCAGAAGGCCTCTTTAAGAGCTGTCTCTTGGTTTTAATGATCAGTTTGGAGAATACCTAACTCAAACTGGGAATTAAAACAGCGGAGTGAACTGAGCTGGCGATGGAACCTTACCTTTTCACTCTGTGTTTTAGATGCTGTGTTTCCTATATGTTTTGGAACCTTTATTTCACACATTTTTCTTCTTTTTCTGTTCTTCTTTCCTTGATGTGTTTTCATGTCTCAGCTTCCCAGTTTGGTAAATATGAATGCTGGTTTTGGGGGTGCTTTGGGGGAAATGCTAGCGGGATCTCCAGCCACAGAGCCCATGAAGCACCTTCACAACCAGGACTTTGGGGTTCACTTCCACTTGCTGGAGCAAGAACATAAAATTATTACTCCTTCCTACCTCTAACAAATGGTCGTCCATGAAGAGAAGTGAGTTTTGCAATTAGCAGGGGCTAATTTCAGGCAGAAGGCAGTACACTTCCCTCTTAGAAACTACTATTTGCATTAAAAAAAAAAAAAACCTTGGCTGACCCAGAGCTATTTTCAGGGTCAGTCTTGACTCCCACGCAAGCAAAGTGACTCAGTGTTGATCTGTGTTCTTCCACTATCCTTAATATTTACTGCTCCTAAGGGAGCAGACCCTAGCTTGGCTGTCTGCTGCCTGTGTCTACTTGCTTTGCGTTTCTGTGCTTAGCTGTCAGGTTTACTAGCAACTTAAATCCTGATGTGTAAGCAAATGTCTTGTTGCAGTAATAATATCTTAGATTATGAGGGAATGAATTTTCAAAATAACCCTTTAAATCTCTATTTCTGTCTGGGTAAAGGATGCTGGTCAGTAAAACCAACCAGCATTTACTACAGTGACTGCGTTCATTTTTAAGGTGTAAATTGAAATTAATTAGGTCTGTCATTCTAGTGCCAACTAGATGTCAACTGGTTAACCTTAAAATATGTTGGCACATTAACTATGGCCATTTTATTATTACGTGCCCAGATTCCTGCCTATTGATATGTAATTTGTGTTAAATTTTTGCCTTTTGATTTGAGACTTAATAATCAAACAATTAAAAATAAAATAAAAGCTCTTTAGATTTGGAAAGGACTTTCAAATAGCAGTAGTACTTTGAACTAGCAGGAACTTTCATTAATCTGCTGACTGAGATGATTTAAGTTGTGTGATCCAGCACTTTTGAAGGCCAGAATCTGAGGAATCCTAAACTTCTCCAGGTGTGACATGATATCCCTTCAGGCAAATAAAACTTAAGCCATTTCCCCTCATTTCTGGAAAGGTGGGTAATGTTTTGCTAATGAGAAGAATAAGGATAATTAGACATTTTGAGTCGTCTCTTTTTCCAACACTTTTCCACTTGATGATCTTTCTTGTTTTGTGTGCTTTGATATTTACCTGAGTGTTTAAAATAGCTTGTTTTACACTAATATTCAAAATGTTTGAAGAATGCTCATTAAATGAGTTGTTTGGATCTCTGATACTTTCTATTGTGGGAATATAAACAAATAATTAAACTTTTTCTACCCTAAAATGGTGTTTGGATGGAGTCATCATGGTGTTCAGACAGTCCTTTAAAGAGGAAAAAAATCTGAAAGTTTTTGGGAAGACCAGAAGAGTGGAGCAATGATCAAAGATGAAATAAGTGACCTTTAAAAATTATCATGTGTCTTTTAACTTCCAGGTGTCAGCAGTGGACTCCTTGGAGGGTCCCCTCCTTCAGGTGGAGGGGCTGAGCGACCTGAGACTGGAGCTGCACAGCAAGAAGATGAACATGCACTTGGTCCTCATAGATGAGTTGCACCGTCATCTTTACATCAAGTCAACTAACCGAGTGGGACAACGCACCAAGGAGAAAGGGAGGATAAGGTTGGTTTTGTGTGATGCTTCTAGGAAGCATCCTAAGAAGGGAAGAGGGCAACACTTCCTCCTTCACTGACTTTATGCCTCACCCTTTCATTTCTGGGGTAGATTGGCAGGCAGCTTCCTAGCACTCATGGCTGTGAAGAACATAAAAAAACCCAAAATATGTTGATGGACTTTTGAGCTTGTGAACATTCTGTTCTAGTGCTGCCTTTGCTTAGTGATTCTGTGGGGTATTTTTGCTGCTTCCCGCAGAATTACAGCCAGGTTGGTTCCTCTTAGCAGGCTTTTCCTGTGTTGCATTCACTTTCCCTATGAATGCCCTGATCAGGATGGCTGAGGTGAAGCAAAGGGAAGAACATGGGGAAGAATTGCTCATTTTACCTAGCAAATTGCCCGGATCTAAAAGACTTGCAGCTAAGCACAAGGTTACTAGTCAGAGTCTGCTCTTTCCAAGCATCTGGACAGTCTTGGCTCTATGGGGAGTGTTTTTAAGGTGTTGAGACGCCTTATCTGGTTGGTGCCTCTGATCAGTACAAGTTCAGCTCATGTATAGAAATCTGGGGTTTTGTTGGGGCTCATCTGGCAAATTCTAAATTTGAAGGCAATAGAAAAGTTGCTGGGAAGAAAGTCTTCAAAAAAAAAGCTTAGGACGGTAACCTTTACAGAGTGGGAAAGGTAATAAGGGCACGAAGCAGAAGGGGAGACATTATCATATGATAGAGATGCAGAGAAATGATAAATTAACATTTTATTATGAGGAGTTATAAAGTGCTAAACCAAAATAACAGGAGAGATAATAAGTTGCGTTAAATAAGTTCAGGAAATAAAGCACTGATTGAAGTTACAATTTCTGGGAAGGAGAGTCGTTAGCAAGTCCTCAGTCTCTTTCCTTACTCATCCTGTTAATTAAAAAAAGGCAAAAAACTTTGCTGTACCTAAACTGTGTATTTGCTAATTAACTTGCAGATTTGTATGCCTGCTACAGGGACCCTTATCTTTTTTCCTAGTTTTCTATCTTTGTTTTTTCCACATGCCCTGTTGTGCACCATTGATATTTTTATAATCTGAACCCTTGGATCAAGGACAGTCTCGTTGCTTCATTTTAGTCTGCTGTCCTAGGCTGCCTGGGGACCAGGATGCAGTTACGATGGAAATTATTTATTATATCCTTTCTAAGTGTGTTGTATTTACTATTGCTGAGTCAGAAGGCCCAGATAATCCCTTTCCGCTTGGGATTGTGGATGTGTAGAGAGTACACCTGGTTGTTCTGCAGGCCAGTGAGATTAGCTCTCGACTGTGCAGGTGTTGGGAGGAGTTCTGACCTCTGAGGGAACTGATCAAACTCACTGTTGGAGTATTTTCCACTTTATCAGGAAAATGATTTCTTATTTGTGTTCTGCTGCCACGTTCAGCTTCATGTCTGGCTGGGGCAGCACAACACTTTTGTGGCAAATAATTCAATAAGGGCAGGTGCAAGGTCCTGCATTTGGGGATGAATAACCCCGTGCATCAGTACAGGCTGGGGACTGATCTTCTGGAGAGCAGCTCTGCAGAGAGGGACCTGGGCATCATGGTGGAGAAGTTGACCACGAGGCAGCAGTTGGACTGGGTGATCTCCAGAGGTCCCTTCCAACCTTAAGGATTCTATGATTCTATGAAATAATACTGTGTGAATTCATTATGGAAACAACCAAGAAAGAAGTGTTTCCTTTCGGAGTAGGACCATTCCTTCAGAAAGGTATGTGTGCAGACCAGGAGTTTGAAGGGCAGAGAAAGGATGAAGGTTTTCAGTGAAGGATTAAGTGGTTGATGGAAGCCATGGAAAGGGAAGCATCCCTCCCACTCAGTGTGTGGTTTCTCCTCCTGTTAAATTTGAGAGTCCCTGAGCTTCCAGATTTTGTCTTTAATCTGTCAGTGTTGCTTCATTGTTGCTTTATGAGCTTCCCCCTTCCCCCTCAAATGTAGATATGTACACCCACGTGCATATACCCATCTGTGGCCTTGTGCTTTAATTTAGGTTGGGTAAATCTCTTGCATTTAAACTGTCTGCTATTTATATGTCTGCCTTTACTGCTTAGGCTCACAAGTTTGAGAAATAAATGCTCTTCTAATGCTCCAAGATTGCAAATAATAATACATGGTTTGCTGTGCTGTTTTTGCTCTTGCACAGTTCGCTTGTGAAAGATGCCTCTTCTGTACCACTCATGGATGTCACTAACTTGTCTACACCTCGAAAGTTCCTTGACACCTCCCAGTTTGGTACTCCTGGAAGCTGCAGCAGTGAGTATTCAATCATATGCATTCCTACTATATGTAATTCTTTACATTTCCAGATGTTCTTGCATAGATTAGTATGCATTGATCCCTTCTTTGTGAATGGGAGATGATGAGAGGTCCTGAGATGGAAAAGATACAAAGTGATTTCCCCATAAAACATGGGAATTATATGGCCAGGAGTAGGAACCCTGAAGCATTTTGTTGTGTTAGTGCCAAAAGATCTATGTTTTTCCTTGTGGAAACTTGGTAAACCTGATGAAAGGTCTGTCTAAACACAAGATTATCCTTGTGCTGATCTTTGTATGTCTGTTACTACTGTGGATCTTAATAGGTGAAATGCTGAGCTTTACCTCTTTGGTATGAGGATTTGAAAATACTGCACAGATGGGGAATTAAACCTTTTATTGTTTTAAGGGATTAAAAAGTGGGGTTTTGTTTAACAGAGGAATAAAAGAGACCTAGAAGTGACCTACATATATAAATATCAAAAAATTCCAAAAATTATTGCCCTTTCCCTCTTCTTCAGATGGAGACAATCTTTCCTTCCCTTTTTATCTATAGGTCTTTTGTCCATTGATTACAGAAGTCTTCAAGGAAGCAGAACCAAAAACGTTCAGCTTCAGTTTTGAAGTAACAGAACTTCTTCGGTTGCTGGAGTTGGAACCAAATTAATTCCCAATTTCTTCCTAAAACTTGTCCAAAATGAGTTGAAAATAAGCCTGGACTATCCATATTTACAGCTCTTTCTAAGATACTTTCTCTAAATCACGAGGGTTTTTGAGACAGGAAAGTCAGTATAAAGTTCAAAGTAACCTCATTAGATTCTCTTTTCCCTTTTTTTCTTTTCTTTTTCTGCTAGAGAAGAGCACAAGACTTCTTTCTACTATCTCCTATTTACAGGAGGATTTGGGGCCCCTAATTAATGTATAATCTCAATTCAGAGCAGGGAGGTTTGGGATTTGTTTGTCCTGGGACATTCAGGTATCTGTTCTTACACAAACTGTGTTTTCAGATAGAAAGGAGTTTTCGTTCTTTTCATTTTGGTGGTTCCCTTTGCAACATGCTAGACACTGTTTATGTGTTGCAAGAGAAGACTGTTCTTAAGAGCTTGTAATAGCAGAGCAAGAAGTGGAAGTAGCCCTGCTAGTACAGAGCTAGTTCTGTGTTTTGTGACTCATTTGAGACTTCTCTAAATCTGCAGATTCTGGCTTTATGTGCTTGAAGCAGTATTGATGGTGTTACAGATCACCTGTCTTTAATTAACAATAAATCAGGGAAACTTAAACCGTGTTTGAATGAAGCTTCCAGGGGACACGCAGCAAGCAAGACCACAGCAGTGATGCCTAAGAGCTGGGCTGTCTCTGAGTGTAAAATTGCACAGGAAATAAATTGCACTGGAAATAAAGACTCTGATGGCCTCATCCTCAGTCACTGTAAATTGATATAGGTCAGGTGAGGATCCATCATCAAACTCCTGTTTCTGCAGATCTGCCCTTGTTGTCCATGGCCAAAGCACCAGAGCAATCTCTTACCTCCCTCCTCTTTTCTACCATTCAATAAAGTACTGGGCAGGTGTCCCTCAGACTGGGAAAGATGCAGGATGTAACAGATAACATCTGATTAGTATAAAATATGCACATGGGCTTGCGTCAAGTGCACAATGTACTTATGTATATTTTTTTCTGGATAATTTTATTTAAAAGTAACCTTTTCCAGGATTATCGAACTAGCAGAAAATTTAAAACTTATGCGTATGCATAACAAAAGCTGTTTCTGCCTTTTAGTCATTTAAGTTCTTTGGCTTCTTATTGATGAAACCAAAAGTGGCCATGCATATTAATGCTTGTCATTATAAAGCACTGACTCATTCGACCCATCTGAGCCAAGAAGATGCCAAGATTTGGAGTCCCTTTCTGCCTTCACTTCCCAAGGGAGATGCTACCCTGTGCTGTAGAATCTTTATAAGGAATTTAAAGCAGATCATGCTGCACTTAAGATAAACAAAACCTTTGGTAATGATCATCTGAGGATTGTAGGTACAGCGGCGATTCGCTGGGAACAATTTTTCCCTTCCTGCCAGTTTGGAGTAATAAATTCACTTCTGAGTTTTATTTTTCCACTTGAACTTTTTGTACTCTGAGGAGTATTTATGAAGGTTCCTGTGTTGCCAGGACCTTCCTAGAAGCCTAAAATGTGCTCAGTGTGCTCACCCAGTGTACCAGCATGGCCAAGAGCTCTGTTGCATGAAAAGGTTGGGTTGATTCTTCACAGAAACTCAACGAAGCCCAAGCTGAGGGGGTAACAGTGAATATTGCTATTGACAGGGTAAGTAAATTTTGTCCTATATAGAGTAGATGGTATATTCAGTCACCTGTGCATCTCAGCTATTAGAGGAAAATGTAACTTGCAGGTCTGGGTGGTGATTTCTAAAGTGAAGTCCAGTTACTCTTCCAGGCTCTGTTTCATTAATAACATAAGTATACGTGTGTTGGCCAAAAATCACAAAGCCCTATGAAGTTAACTGTGAAATACCTACCAGAATCGGAGGCTTAAGAGCTCATTTTCAAGGTGGTTGTGAGAATGCCAGTGTAGAATTCTCTGTTTATTGTCATAAATGCCGCTTTTTAAGCTTCTTTGTTCCTATTAACCTCACCTGGGGATCTGATAGACCAGCTGGGTGACTTTCTCCATCATCATTCGTACTAAAAGTTAAATGAGCCCCTCACTAAACCCCAGTTGTCCTGTTAGCCACTTTGCATTTGCATAAACCCAACTGAGAACTTAACTGGCAGGTGATGGGAATCCCACAGTGAGTCTAATTCCTTCCCTCCTCCATCATTGCAAAGCTGCATAAAAAAGTGAGTATTTTTTTTCTGATTGCCTTGAGGTGTATTTTCATGCAGAGGCTATTGAAGAAGCAACCTGTAGTGTAGTTTAAGAGGATTTTTTTCAATAGCACAATAAGCAGAAGTGCTTTTGGTGCAGCATGAAGAAAGCCTTGCTTTCTCTCACTGGTCCTCACCAACAGATCATGTTCTAGCTAGATGGTAAGTGAAGATTCATATTTTTTTTTGGGAAGGGCAAATCTAGGAGCCTGTCCATGTGAGGAAAACTTAAAACCATCCTTAGGTATGTCTTCCTATAGAATTTCTTTAGATATTCTCAAATGCAGTCACCAAAGAGGCTATGGGACTTGCATGTGTTTTTTGTTTGGAGACTCAGTTTTCATGCTAGCCTGTATTGGAAGGAAGTTGAACGTGGCTCATAAAGTCGGCTTGTAATTTCCTCCCAAGAAATGTTATGGTGGAGTTGGGAGAGTAGCCGTGTCCGATTAAAATGTCTCTGCTTTTAGAGAGCTAACATCCTTAAAATCGTAGGTGGACCTGTGGGAACAGCAGTTCTTGAAAGACAAAATCGGCCTTTGACTGGGAGGATATTGATCTCTGAGACCCATTTTCTTTTGGACTTACCATTAAAGCTGATAAAATGGCTGAAATCTTTTAAAGGACTTAATTCTTAAATAGCTGCCCATTTCTTGTCTCTGCAGCAGGCAACAAACCAAGTGTTCGGCACCGGAAATCAGCAGCTGAAGTTCCCTCAAATCTCTGATTACGCCTTTGGGATGCTATGAACTTGCATCCTGTTCTCTAAAAGGATTGAAAGAAGGAAGGGTGTAATCTGGAAAGACATAAATCATGAAAAAATAGTACATAAAATTTTACTAGTTGCCCATAAAAGCGCCGAGCTAATGAAATCTTCTGTAATAAGTAGCAGCAAATTTTGGCCATTCAATAGAATGAAAAACAAGACCCAAGAGCCACCTCAGTAGCTCTGCTTAAATGAGTTATCAACAGTGGCTTTTGTGGGGATCAGGCTGGAGCTGTTAAAATGCCTCTTGCAGCAGGGCTCTTTCTTGCGGAATGGCAGTCACACAAATTAGGGCATCATCAATTGGAGCAGACGTTTTTATAGAGCATCGTCAAACCAGGAGCCGTCGGGGAAGTTTCCGTCTTCGCAACTGTGGAGGTTAGTGGAGGTGATGAATCAATGATGAACGTGATTCAGCTTTCTAGTGATTTACATTTAATGTGGGGTTTGATTGCTTAAACGCCGCTGTGTGTTTTCAGATGCACAATTCCAGTAATAAAAAGTTCTGGAAAAGGCTGCGTATTTCATTGGAGAGGATGTTGCAAAGAGCACAGAGCTTTAGGTCATTGCCTTGAAGCTACTGAGGAACCATGTTTGAAGCTTTAGCTTGAATGGTTTTTGAGGTCATTTGAATGGTTTTCAAGGTGGCTTGATATCATTTTTGGATAGAATTAAGCCATAAGAAACCTTCAGATCATGAAGTGATGCTGGAAACTGGTTGTCCAAGGAGCACAGTTTAGCTATAAACATTGAAGTTATATATCGTGCTGATCCTCAAAAGCCTCAGTCAAATGACTAGACCTTGGACAGGCTAATCCTTCTACTGGTTTGTGTGGGCGAAGAGCTTACATGGTACAAGGATTTATAGCTAGGATGTGTCAGTAAAGCAGCATGTTGAGACTGTGCTTTTTGACATAGAACTTAGATTCTAAGTTTAAGAGTAGGCATGAGTATGGGGGAGAAGAGGAAGGAAATATTAATAATTTACACTTTAAATGATCAACATCACATTTTGTTTATTATATTCTTACAGAGGGATAGAAAAATTGGTGTTACTGGAAGAAGTCCTGCTTTTTTTTCCACCCCCTTGGCATTTTCCAGGTTTATTATTTTGTGGATAATACGAAGCTGTTTTTAATTAAAAGCAGGATATTTTTCCCCTTCTACTCTTTGATGAACCAGAAAGGAGAAGAGGTTAATCAAATCTAATAGCAAACCCACAATTTAGAGTAATTAAATTATTCTTTGAATGTTTACCATGATTATTTTTATTAATTTTTCATGACTTCTCTAGGTAAAGCATGCTTACAGAATGAACAATGATCCTACCTCTTTAAAGGAACGTCTATTTTATGGGTAGCAACTGATGAAGGTAGAAAGGTGGGAATAGAGTCTTGACAGTCTTGCGGCTGGATACAAATGCGCTACAAAATTTCATTCTCTCTTTCAGCATAAATGTAGCTGAAACTTTCAGTCCTGAAAGCCCAAGTGCAGGGGCTTCATCCTTCATCTGTGGTGCAGAATAATTTGTGGGATTGCAATTTTAAATATGAACTTCTGTGTAAACAGGTGTCTACGTGATGCCTATCAGGTAGGGGAAGAGGGGAGCCTTGTGGTCAGATAACTCCTTGAAGACATTAAATGCTTGAAGGGGTTGCCTGCAGTGGGGAAAAAACAGGGTAAGAGGAGCATTTCCAGTTGCACAGGTTGAGATCTTGAAGGCCCTAAAGATAAACGGGACCTCCGAGCTCTCTAGGATGCCTAATAAGCAGGACAGGAACCAGGTCCCTACTCTTTTATCAAAAGATGATATAGAAGAGAGTTTATAGGTGAGTGTATTGCTGCTGGATACAGAAGTATTTGCTGTGCTTGTTTGTGGGAGATGGGAATCAAGGTCCTGACTTGCTAAGGGAGGTAAAAATTGACTTGCAGTCTTTGCAAACACAGGTTTTCATCCAAAATTGCTGCCTTCAGTCCCCTCAAATGCAGTCCTGACATTTGGGTCCAGTGCTGCTCCTTCCCTCTCTGCTTTTCATTGTGTGATAATAATAATTGGTGGCCCCCTTGGCCCCCCCTTGGTGGTCAACGTAATGCTGGGGAGCTGGTATCTGAAAGGTTGCTTGGTCAAGGTTCAGTGCGTCAGACTCATAACCACAAGATTATTTTGGGGGAAGGAATCAGTAATTTAAAGCTTTTCTTCCTCTAGCATTTGCAGTGGCCCCTTTTCAGCAGCTCTCCTTGCAAAGAGCTCCTCGTCTGTGTGCTGTGGTGTTTGGAGAAGGGCAAGCAGCATTAAGGGCATGCAAACCGCTGTGCACAAAGGGCTCTGCAGCCTGCGGGGCCCAAAGGTGGGCAGGAGATGAGGGGAGAGGGATGTGTGTTCAGCCCGTTGTCATGTTCTAGACCTATGAAGGTTCATATGCCATCTAAGCATCACTTATATTATTGTTGCTTTTGCTTAATCAGAGCCTTCTGGGTGTTTCTAGATGCTTATCTAAACTAACGCACAAAATAGCCAAAATCATGTGTTTAAATAGATTGCTCGTGAAGTTTGTCCCTACCTTACCACGCTGCTGCTGCTCTTGGTTGCAACACATGCCAGCAGGCCACGCGATTTTAGCTGAGGATGCCACCTTTGGGCTTAGAATGCCCAAGGGAACCAAATATCTGCTGGAGAGGTTGGCATGACCTCCCACAGAAGCGAGCAGTACCTGTTGATGCATATGGACTCTTTGGGACATTGTGTCCTCTACTCCCATGTTGACTTTTGCTCTTTGGTTCTGAGCGTCGGATCTTTAGGCAGCTATGGGACTGCGTGCTCCTGTTTTTCATTCCTGCCCTGTCATTTAAATCCTTCTGGTGGATCACTTGATGTTTGTTCAGCTTCTTGGATGACTTTGTATGTTTTGATTTAAGTTTAAAAGGGAAATCTGTTGAGCAGTAGGAGCCATGCGAGTCATCTGCCACCCAGCAGCCCTCATGGGAGTTGGATGCCACCAGGGTGAAACAACCGGTGGATTTGAATCTCTAGTGGGTGGCAGTGCTCAATGTTAGGCTTTGTGTGCGGGTTATCCATATCCTGCTGTCCCCAAGCCACATCACTGCTTGTCTTTCAAGATGCTTGGGTTGGGTTTGTCTTGAAGGCCTTGACTTCCTGATAGGGTTTCAGTACATCTATTAGATGTTTCGCCCAGTCCTCACCAGGGACAGCCTTTTGTTGCTGCTGGATGTTATCTGTAAATTAAGAAATGCTGATTAATGAACTTAAAACAATCGTAGTCCCTGTTGTCTTTCTATTCCTAGTCACCTAGCAACAGACTTTCTCTTTATGCAGTCCCAGTTACTCCAGCAGGGCCCTGGCCACAATATCCTTTCTAATTCTTCTAGCTTTTCCTTTCTAGAAGCCTTGCTCACAGATTTGAGTAACTTCATCAACCCCTTGACAGACGTAATAAAGCAGAAGAGGATAACATCAAGCCATCCTTCACTTTGGCAGGCTGAACTTGGCCGAATTCATCAGCAGTCTGTTGAGCTAGATAGTGTTCTTAATGAAAAGCCCTGTCTTGGGAAGAGTGCTGCGAAGAAAAAGGGCTGGCTGGGAGATTCAGGGCTTGGAGCCCTGTTGATGTGCAGCCCGTGGATGTGTCGTGACATTGTACCCTCGTAATCCCGGATGTCTTAATTGCTACAGACTGCCACAGGTTGCCCGCTGAATTTTGAATAGGTCAAATTTACAGGTTGTTGCATTCACAGAATCCCAGAATGGTTGAGTTTGGAAGGGACCTCCAGAGATCATGCAGTCCAACCTCCCTGCTCCAGCAGGGACACCAGAGCACGTGGTGTGAGGTGGCATCTAGGTGGAATAGAGATGAAGCCCCAAGCCCAAGCAAACCCAAAAATCCAGTTGCTGATGGCTTCTTCCTTTACTCCGAGGTCACTCAAAGGAACAGGTGTCCGATGAACACAGAAGGGTTTTACATACTGCTTCTATGTGGTATAAAGTATAGTTTTGTTGAATTTAAACCTTGCATTATGATTAAAATGTATTGCAGTGCGGGAAACAAGCCTTCTGGAAATTAAGGAAGATGCAGAACTGGATCCAGAGGAGAACAGCACCGCCTTCATGGGCATCCTCATCAAAGGGCTGGCCAAACTGAAAAAAATCCCCGAAACGGTGAAAGCCATCCAGGAACGCCTAGAGAAAGAGCTCAAGCAGATTGTCAAGAGGTCCACGACACAGGTGGCAGACAATGGTTACCAGAGAGGGGAGAATCTTTCACAGGAAAATCAGCCCAGGTAAGGGTGTCTCCAGCAGTGAAACTTACTGCAAAATTAAGTCTTGGGGAAGGTGTCGTGTCCGTTGATTGCCATGTAAAGGAGGGCCTGTAATCTTTGAATAGCAGAAGCTGAAAGTGGTAGCTCAGGAGTGTCACCTTTCCAGGGGCAGGATGATGACCTTGTCTCTGCCTGCTGTCAATGCAGTGCCCTGCTGCTGCTGCTGGAGAAATTACCAAAGACTTTGGGACAGGAGCGGTTCTGGTTGGAAAAAAATCCTCCATGGAAAGAGTGGTGGAGCTTTGGAACGGGTTGCCCAGGGAAGTGGTGGAGTCACCATCTGGCAGTGCTCAAGAGCCATGTGGATGAGGTACTTAGGGACATGGTTTAGCAGGCAGGATGGGGATAGGTTTATGGTTGGACTCAATGATCTTGAAGGTCTTTTCCAAGCATAATGATTCTCTAACATCTCTGTAACGTTATCAGAAAGGCTTCTGGAAAAGACTGATGTTCCTTGAGCACCTGAAATGCGTGGGGATTAAGGAAGTGCCTCCAGAAAGGGGCGGTGTTGCTCCTTCTGAGCTAACAATGCGGGAAAGGGAGGTCATTTCTTTCTGTACTTTGACCCTGGAGGAGAATCTTGTGGCTGAGCAGATGGATTTAAAATGCTCATTGAAGGTAGAAGCGCAGAAGAAGCCAGCATAGCTTTATTATAAGAAGTAAATAATATTTAAAAAAAGCTTGGTGCCAAAACAAATACTAACTGCTGCCTTGCGTTGCACTTAATCGTGACTTCACACTGGTGGTGATGGCAGAGGAGTTTAAAGCTCATATGCAAGGTGACTTGGAAAGAGAAGATTCAGTTCAGTTATCTGAAGTGTAGCAGAGTCAAGTTCAGCTGTTACAGGGTTTTGAAATCATATATGTAACCAGTTATATTGGTAAAGATATGGCTGAGCTTATAGTTGATTTGCAGCCACGTCTACATTAGTTGTAAGGTGAGGAAGCCTGAGAACTAAGTTTCTGCTCTTTTGTTAACTATAGTCTTTGGGATTTTCTAGAGTTATTTTGCTGGAAATAATACTCTTAAGATTTAGCTATCTCTTTAATCAGAAATCTTAAGTTATGATACTGCATGTTGTAATGAGCAGTGTCCAGAAATGAATGATGGAAAAGAAAATCCTCAAACAAAAAAATGTTCTTTTTCACTGTATGGAAATCTAGCAGTGGAAAAATTTCTCCCAAGGAAAACTTTAGTTGGATGAGCACTTTTTTTTTCAATTTCTGTCATTGCTGTGGAAAAAAGTCACATTTTGAGTGTTGTTTATAGAGTTATGGTACTGATATCTTGGTGAAATTAGAGCAGGCTTTTTGAGTGGGTCTGAAGACAGAATTTTAGTCCCCAGTGCCAAGATGGAGCCTAACTTGTATTTGATCCCTGTTCTGTGAATCAGTGCTGAGAGGCCACGTGGTTATAGGTTGCACGTTAAAATAGATAAATTGGATCAGGTCACTTTTTAATGATGTTAGCCTGCCCCAGAGGGCTGGGTGAAGTGTGGGAAGCCTGTAACAGGGTTTGACGTGTGATTAATAGGGCTTCCATGAGCCCCATGGAAAGTGTTTTGAATTCTTGGCGAGTAAGGAGATAATTAGAACTGTTTCGAAACCAGAATTGCTTATGAAGTTGCAGTAAGCAGGTGAATTCATTTATATTGAGAAGAATGATTTACAGTTTGGCAACGTAAGCCGCCCCTTGAATTAGCTACAATTTTAAGTCCCAACTAAGTGACTTTTTCTTAATCTCCAAAACAAACCAAAATAAGGTCTCCTTCTGTGCAAGAAAACTGCAATACCGCAGATATGAGCCTGATGCAGCTCCCAGAAACTGCTTAACTGTTGTTAGCCACGACACTTCCTTCACCTCAGTATTTGGCAAGTAAACTGTTTTTAAGTTGGCCTTAATCACACGTAAATGCCTTAGAACAACATGAACTACTTCTGAGGATCTCAGTGTATCTGCCAGATTTTGTGTGGAAGGGATTATGAGACTGCTCTGACAAATTGTCTCCACCAGGCTCCTGTCATTCTGCATTTGTGTCCTGCCTGGGTCACTCGGTGCCACAACCTGTATGCGTAAAATCCATGTCCCTTTCGTGCTGCTTTGTCATCAAGGCCGTGAGTCACATTCCACGTCTGTGTGTCTGCTGGGTCACCTTGTTTCATAAATGACCTACCAGGTTCAGAAGATGTTTAGAGAAAAGGGAGTGAAGAAAAGATAGGAGGCACTGGGGAATTTTGCTAAGTGGAAAAAGGTGTTGATTTAGGATGAGGAATGTGATGTAGTTAGGTGCAGTGAAGGAGGCTTTGCGGATAGATTTTCCTTCTGCTCATCTGCAACAGGAGAACAGGAAAACATTAGAAACTGAGAACAGATAACTTGTTAGTGTAATATTTTAGTAGTGGTAACACACAGTGAAGTTTACTTAAGGATAAGAAGCCAGAGTCTTCAAACTATGCAGCTAGTTCAGTTTTGCAAAATCATACATTCCTGGGACTGCTAAATTTGCATTAGTAGCATGGGGTGTCAGTGGAAGTAGTGTCTGCACTGATGAATTTTCTCAATGGCATATACTTAATTTGATGACATAAGACTTGTTTATAATTAAGGCTGTCTTCTAGTGGCCCACCCAAAGCTAAATACAGTTATTCAACCTGGAGCTTACCATTTTTTCCAATTCTTGTACATCTGGTTTCCTTCTTTGGTTTTCTGGCTTCTGTGTGACCAGCCTCATGTCTTAGCTGCTTCTCTACCATTCACATAGAGACTGTCAGAGCAAAAGTTGCTTCTCCTGCATCCTTGAATAGGCTGGAGAAGATGCTCAGCTGCAGTGAAGCCAGGTTCTCGGGCAGCTTTGGCTGCCTCTTGGCCCATCTCCTTCTATAACTTACAGTATCAGTCAGCATTAGTAAAGGGACAACATAATTCAGGGAACAGGGAAACTCTTTCCACAGGGAAACTCTTTCCACAGGAGTAATGTCTTGGCTTGCCTTTTGAACAGGTTAGTTATTGGAATTTATTTTTTAAAAAGGCAGCAAAAAATGTTTTTTCTTCCATACTGGACTTCATATATTGAAGTTAAACACTGTTAATATTGATAACAGTCTTTTCTGATGCTGTCTATATCAACATATCTTATGCACTTAGGCCTTACCCTCTACCAGGGTCTTGTTTAAGTAAAGACCTGTAGAAAGCAGCATCTTCTTCGATAGTGCCCAGAAGGCTTTTCTGTCGGCATCTGTTGCTGATGTTAAATAGGAAGGATATTGATACATATAGTAGTTCCTCTCAGGTTCCTCTTAGTTCTGTAGCCACTTAAGATACAGTAATATTAATGTTCCTTTGTATCTTATGAGTGCAATGAGTCCTAAACACATTTTTATTTTTAATATAACATCCTTCTGACCACCTGAGCCATGCAGTTGCCTTGGTTGGTAAGTGCAGGCTCTACGGTGGTGGTTAAGGAGTTGGGTCCAGCTCTGCTTCTCCTACAGGTTGTCCATTCTGCTGCAGGTGGCAGCCTCCAATGGGAAGAGACACAATTTGGGAATTACTCCAGGTCATTGTATATAATAATGAAAGTCTCAGTAATTGACAATTGAGGCACCTAGATGTCTTAGGTTTCTGATCCTTCATGATATTTAAATCCTTTCACATTGATCATTTCATAATCACAGAATCAGTATCTTATATGTGGTTTGTACGTGTGATTCCATGATTCTTACTTTCTTCTGGGGAAAAACGGGTAACTTTGCTCTGTTTGTTGCTCCATCTGGGAATTTGGCAGGTCCTCAGATATCGTGATATCACATTGCTGGGTAGTTGCTAATGCGACTACCTGTCCTTTATTTTTCCTATCCTCTCAAGTGGAACCCACTAAAAGTCCAAAACACACATACGCAGTAAAAAAGGAGAAGCTTCAGAAATATTTAGGAACTAAATATTAGCTGGTTTCAGGTGAAAGAGGTCACCAAAACACTACAGACTTGCTGTGTTGTACCCAGTGTCCATCTGAAAACAGGATATAAAATGAAACATAAAATGAAAATTTTGTGAACGTGGCCCACTGCTCAGATGTGCTCCATGTGCTTAGATAACTGAGTGAAGATTGTCTTGATGCTTTATAGATTACTTCTGGAGCTGCTCGAGCTTCTCTTTGACAAGTTCAACGCCGTGGCTGCTGCTCACGCCGTCGTCCTCATGCACCTTCAGCAGACGGTGGCGTCGCCTTCCGGCCAGTGCGACGGTGATACCAAGCTTTATGACATGGTTGACGTGTGGGTGAAGATACAAGACGTCTTGCAGGTAAGGACCCTTCAAGTGGCCAAACTTTCAACTTGTGACAGCTTTTATAACCAGGGAAAACAATGTTGTCGTACTCAGGTGAGAGCTGTGCTGGAATTAGACTTTATTGATGGTAAATTATCCTGTGTTACTACTACTGACAAACCCCAGACACCATTAAGAAACTTTCTGTGATTTCATCCTTACGGTGCATGGAAGGGTGGTTCCTGTTTTCTACCAAGCAGATTATTTGGAAACTTTCAAACAATGACATTTTTGTTCTGTGCTACCATGTCATGCCTGTCTATAAAGTGTCACAGCTCTAATCGCCTGGTGTCTCCTGTCATCAAGCCTTAGCTATAGTCGGTTGAGACGATTGCTCTGAGGCTGCTGCCAGTGGGTTTTCAGGGAAGTCTTGTTTGATTCTTAACCTAAATTGCCAGGTGCTAAAGCTGTGCACTGCTTAGGGTGTATTCTGTTACCTGGCCTATCACCATAGTGTCAGAGTCTCTTGCAAGCAGAGGGTCATGAGCAGAGTCGCACGTTCTCTTTTGGAGACATATATATTAACGTGGTGGGGTTTTTAAAATTATTTTTATGTGTTTTTTGAGGGAGGAAGGAGATGTTTGTTTATTTATTTTGACTTACCTTAGTATACAGTGCACAGACATACATCTCACCCAGTGTGTGATGGAGGAGGTCAAAGAAACGAGCTTGGCATTATTTACAAGACGAGACAAGATTTATGATGGCCATTTCACCTCTGGCCTGTTCCTGAAATACGCTCTCTGGCTCCTACACTAACTTACTTTTCATTCTCTAGTCCAGGTCTGCTTTGTTTTTTCTCTAAAGACTTCTCTGACTGCACAGTGCTGCACCTGTGTGTGTCTCTTTTACGTAAATGGATATGGCCACTTTTGTGCATGCAGTGTATTTAGGTGGTACTTGGACATGACAAATATTACCTGGTAAATGTATCCTTTGAATACGCCCCCTGTCTCTTTACCCACAAATCTGCCTTTTTAAAGTTACTTATTCTTGATCAGTCTCCTCCCTGGCATGCATTTTCTGCTTGATATTGCAAAAAAAAAAAAAAAAGCAAGATTGGGCCTCTACAGACAGAGGATAATGATGTTTCTAAACAAAGAAATAGGATTGAAGCTGACCAGCTCTATTAAAGGTAAGAATTAAACTTAGGGACATGAGGAAGGGGCTTGGCATAAAATACTGCTTCTTACTGCAACCATGTTATCGCCATCCGCGAGATCCAGGAAACCTTGAAGGCCTTGGGGAGTTCTGCAAATCTTGTTCTAGGACGAGGAGGCCTGGGAGTAAGAAATCCTCCAAGACGTTATCTTCGGCAAGGCAGAAGCACAAGGCAAGTAATTTCCCCTTATCAGTAAGAGTTTGTGATGGTCTCATTCCTCACGAGTGGGGAAGTCAGGAGTGAATTATGCCAGCTCTTCCAGACACTGATAAAACTCTGTACCAGAAGCATGTGTGACTGTGTACATATAGACACTAAATGTGCTTTCTGCACTAGGAAGAAAGTATTTGACCAAGTTTCTTTTTTTTTGTACAAAAAAGAGCATACAAACAAAATGTGGCAACTCACCTGTCTGTAAAGAGTTCATTGCTATTTGTCTGACAGCAAGGATGTCAGTTATAAAAGCTTCCAAAGAAGAGTCACAGATAGCTCTTTCAATGCACAAAAAGCAGCACTTTGAACTCTATAATCTCATGCTGGTTTAGGGTAAGGAGATGAGCATTGACTGCCACAGAAAAGAGACGATTTTCCCCTTCTCTCTTCAAAATCTTGTGCGTTTTCCATTTTAGTTTCCGAAGAATGGATTTCAAATTTCTGAGTTTTCAGTACAGGAAAGCCTTTGAGTTCAGGGTTAAATCACTTCTATCCTGTTTCTGGAATAAGACTTTTTATTTTATTTTTATTTTTTTGGAGAAGGGACCTTACGTTTGTTGCAGGGGGAGCAGACCCTCAATTTTAAAGGTATTTGTTTAAATCTGCCTGATGTTGGGGAATGATGAAATTTCTGAGGACATGGCATAGTGGCAGACTGCATCAGAAAATGCTGCAGTGTATGCAGATTGTAAAGAATGAAATTTATTCATGCTGCTACAGTATCTCCTGCCTCTGATTCCCATGGATAAGCTCTTTCACATGTATATTGTGCAGCTCTGCATGTGTAATATGTTATAGCTAGTTTATCTCTTTATACTTTCATACATAAATAATAACGTGCACTCACGGTGGGTTGTAGATCAGCCTTTGTGGAAAATGTGAGAAGGTTGTTTGGAGCAGCATTTTTTTTCCTGGATTTGGGGATATTTCCTAGTGATAGCGTGAAGCACTGTGAGGCAGTATTAGGTAGCACGGAGTTGTGCAGTGGTAAGGTGTTGAACATACAGATCCATTACATTTTGACATTCTGCGAGCATGCAAGAACACTGAACTCATCAGAAGAAAAACAGAGTGACCTTTTAGAGTTGGGTGCTAGAAACAAAAAGGTGTCCCCCCCAAAAAGATGAATTTGTCACAGTGCTCCAGCAGGGTTGTTCAGTAAGACACAGTTCACAGTTATTTGTATCTGCTAGTAGCAGAGCCAGCATCTGCTGTAGTCCCGTTGCCAAACCAAGAAGAGCGAGGGTGCCAAAGCCCTGGCACAGGCTGCCTGGAGAGGTTGTGGAGTCTCCTTCTCTGGAGATCTTTGAAACCTGCTTCGACGCAGCCTGTGCCCTGTGTTCTAGGTGACCCTGCATGTGCAGGTGGTTGGACTAGATGATCTCTGGAGGTCCCCTCCAACCTCAACCATTCTGTGATTCTATTTGAAGGATGAATCAACTACTGTGAGACACTGCTAGTATTTATAAAGTAGAATAAGGTTCTTGGATATGCAGCGTTGGTGTTAACGTGCCATAAATATTGGCTGAAATGTCAGTGCAGAATGGGCAACTGTTACAGCATGTGCAAAATTCAATAAGGAATGTTCTGAGCCAAAGGTAGTGCTGTTTTTCAGAAAGCCCCTTTACAGAAATTAATAGTTTTGTGGTTACCCTCAAAATAATGTTTCTGACAACCTTTTTGATACCTGCGAAATGGTATTTAACATGTGGAATGGGAACTCTTGGGATCGTGGCTGCTTCGTCTCATTGATGTCCTCTCATTTAGGTGGGAGGATGATGTGGAGATGTTTTCCCTGCAGCATTTGAAAAATACAATTTCAGTCCATCTGGGGTGTGTGAGAAAGAGAGAGAGAGATGACACGAGACTCTCCAGGATGCCGATATTGAAAACTGGAATTTAAATAATTACACACCGTGCCACTTAGCACTTCTTCCCCATTTCTTCCTTGAGATGCACTCAGTGCATGTACCGTTTCCAGCACAGCTAGTGCTACAGAATTTATATGTTGTGGAAATTGCTGCTACTAAGAGCATGAAGCTTTCAGGTGGGGTTTATGGGCCGAGACGAATGTTATCTTTTTTGAATCGAGGAACGGACAAGGTAATTTTGCAGGAAGGCACTTCTTTAAATAGTGGTCTTGCTAAACATACTTGAGGAAGGGATGCAATGTCCTGCTTCCCCTTGGCTTTAAAATGCTTTATAGACTCGTACCAGCTTGTTTCAAGTCCTCCTTGCACATTGCATAGGAAATAATTTGATCCCTTCCTTGGGAAACTGTCCTGTTTGAGCAAGGTGCCACAGCAGAAGTTTGCACGACTGCTCCTATGTTCCACCTTTTATTTCCAGAGTGACTTCTATTTTATTTTTTTTTAAATCCATGAGCAGTTGATCCAGAGTGTTTCATACACACTAACATTTACTTTAAAGTTCAAAGCGATAAAGTCCTGCATAAAAATGAATTTTTGAATAACGTTTGAATAACGCACGGTCCCTTGCAGAGGAGGTCACTGGGCTTACTGTTTGGGAGATTTACAGAAGATTAGCTTGTTTAATGAAATATTTGCAGGTATGTGAACAAGAAGGGGAAAAAAAACACGTTACCCTCTTCTGCTCATGCTGTAGAGCCTCAAGGTGCTCTGCACTCAAAGGGCTTTTCCTTTCAGATGGACTTTTTTTTTCTCTTTAAATAGCTGAACAAGCTCATCAAGATACGGTTTTAACGTTGCTTCTTTTGGAGTTTTTGCCTAAATATTTAAGTAGCTAAATTCACATAAGTGAGTTAAAAGCATGTTTGTGTTTTTTGCCTGAGAGACTGTGTTCTAATGGAGGGAAAAGGTGAGAAATACTTGCAAAGAGCCCCATCATTAGGTAATTTCAAAGCCATCTCTCTCAGTTGCTAGGTTGAGAGAAAAGCCTTGTCTGTAGAAAACACGGAGAATGCAGAACAGGGTAATGACTTACTCCCTACTTGGATATTTGACAGCTTGAGTGAAACCCGTATCTTTTGAATCCTTGCCCACTGATCAAATGCTTTCTAATTTATATAGTCTGAGAGCCCTGGATTTCTTCTTTTCAGCCCTTTTTACAGCTGCGTCACCTGGAAGGCCGACTTTGACGTGCTGAAAGATCACAGAGAATGACGAGGAAGATGGGGAAGTTGTCCTTGATGTGATGTCTGTGTTTCAGATTGCCAGCAGGAATATGGCTATTTTACATCAATGTATAAAATTTCCAACTTGTAAGGTACTGCTTAGGCTTCATCTTCCAGCTTTAATTAATGAGACAGTGTAGAAATGAAGACAGAGCTGCAGATGTGGGCTGAACCTGAGCCATTTTCCTGCATTCTTGAAGAGGTACTTGTTAGGTCTGATGTGCTTTTTTTGGTGACTATCAATGTCCACTGCTCTTTATTCACGCTGTCAGCTTGAATTAGGAGTGACTGCGAGTAATTCATGAGCATTTGTAGCCGTGTTTTATAGGCCTCTAAAACCCCGGCGCCTTTCATGTGCGGAGCTTATTCACACATAGGCCCCATGTGAGTAGCTTTCAAGTCAGTGAGACGGACTCGTCCCAGCATCATGAAAATGCTGTGAATGGG